AACAATTTCTAGCAATACTACTTATGAAGTAAAGGTGCATAGATAACATATGAATGACAGCGAAACTTAACAACAGACATGTCTGAAGGATACGAACAAGAAACAGAGACAACAAACCGAATGGACATCAAACGATCAGTATTGGAAGGGCGACATAACCTTTTACACCCTGACATCAGTAAACATATTCTCCAGACTGTTCTCTGTACATTTCTTATGGTGCTGACAAGGAGAATTTGTTTAACAATCCTGAGCTTCTATCGTTGGAGATCATTTCCTTTTTTCTTGTGACCTTTATGTGTGATTTGTGGGTGATATTGTAAGGAGAAATTAGATGCTTGTCACTCTTCGGGGCTAAAGGGTTAAGATGTATTCATTACCCATGATAAGATAACTCAGTAGGTAAATAGCCTAAGTGACTGGTACATCACAGAGAATTCAGAGAAAAAAAATTATATCATTGCTTAAAGCCAGAATTAGCTTTTTTGGAATAAACTTTTAGGGTATATTTCTTTCAAGGCCAGTAGAGAATCAAATCTTTTCCCCGATCATTCATAAACGGGAAATTGTTTCAACTCACAAACGCAGCTGAAGCCGTTTCCTTTGTAGCCAGGCCTGCACCGACACTCATAGGAGCCCTCGCTATTGAGGCACTCAGCATCTAGGTGGCACTTGTTCTTAAATGGCTGGCATTCATTAACATCTGAATAGAAGGAGAAAAAGCAAAATTAACACTCATCTGCCTGTCTGTTGGGGTAAATCTAGTACCTTCGCTAGTTGGTAAAAATAAGAGATTTCTTGGGCCGATAACGCGTACAAATGATAAATATTAAGTCACCACGATATAGTATAAAAAATGTAATCAGTAGAGGGTAAAATGCAAGCTAAAAAGATACGTTTGCCTTATTGAAATGAAATCAATTGGGTTATGAGTAGTAACGTATATTTTCGGTTTAGAAATATGGAGAGAAGGCCGCTGATATTTCACAGTGTAGCACCTTTGTTCAGTTTACGTTACTCGAATTAATACAAAGCAAGGCTTCCAGGATGAAACATCCATTACTCGAATACATCGACCAAATACGCAAAACGAAACAAAAGCAAACAAAAAACATTCAAAACGAAGAGGCGACATACGTATTGAACTCACCGAAACAATTTCGCCCATCTCCTTCCCAGCCATCTTTACAAGTGCACTGTCCACGACCTTCGGGTGAGCTTCGGCGACATTCTGCATTTGAATCACAGAACACTCCTTCGCACGAACCATCCGCTAGGAGGGAAAATGATCGATCGATGACCCCAGTCGTTACAGTAAAGACAATAATTTTATCCAAAAAAATCCTGCATCACAGGAGCTCTCTCCAATCAATGAAAGATTAACTTTACGGCGTTAATTCTCTTTACGTCTCTCTATTTGTATCGTGGCGGCCATCTTGATCACTGTCACGCGTTAGAGGTCTGGTGCGAACTCTGCGAAAGTCTGGGGGCTAGAAATTTTAGATTGGAATTTTCCACCAATTTTGAAATTTTCCGACAGTTCGAGGTTTCCGCGCCTCTCGTGCCACATCGCACACAAGCGTAACAGAGTTCAGAATACCTACCACAATAAAGGGTGACACTTTTGAACTAAATGACTGTAAATGTGTAAAAATTATAAATGTGAACGGCGAATTAAGAAATGAATATGAAAGCAATCTTCGCAGTCATAGACACTACTTGAGCAGAAGTAAATACGATGCCTGTAGAAATATTCAGATCCGTACGGGATTTGAACCCATGAGCTCTGCGATACCGGTGCAGTGCTCTGGTCATCATTTTGCATTGCTGCGTAACGTATTTAACACACTTTAGGACTGGTAACTTAATCCTCTATTTATAGGTATACAGAAATATTTACGAGAAGTGAGATCTCCCTACTTTGTATACCAGGAAAATTTACCTATTGTTTTTCAGTGTTAATGGCTAAGTGTAATGTAAATATTAGGCTGTGTACATAACTGAATGCAAGGAAGTCTTCGAAGAGTTGGTTACCTCTCTTAATAGTTTAACCCTCTAACTCCCATGAGTGACCAAGACAGAATTTCTCCTTACAACATCAAAACAAAATCAAGCCGACAAGTGAATATCACTTCGGCGATCATTAGTCGATCCAGTCCCAAATTCTTCCCACTAACATCACAGAAACTGTATGGCAGATAGCGAGGAGAATTACTGATGAGATCTTGGGAGTTAGAGGGTTAACTTGCGGATGTGAATACTATTCCACCACTCAGGACTTTCATTAGCACTTCGTTATCCGGCAAACAGGTGTCGAACATACAAAAATTTATCAGTTTAAAAGCGTCCTCGAAATATAACTATTTTTTTATATTTTTAGGATATTACAAACTTTTTATAGCGAAGGCGTAAACCACGTAATGGGATTAAAAAAGACTCACAAACGCAGTCGAAGCCATCGCCCTGGTATCCAGGCCTACAGCTACATCGATAAGAACCATCGGTGTTCAAACACTGTGCGTCTGAGCTGCAGTTGTTTTTAAATGACTGGCACTCATCAACATCTAAACACCAAGACATAAAGGTAATAAGTATACACCGTACAAGTGGATAGTGCTTTTCGCGCGCGCTGATTGGCTAGTTCGAAAGTGAAAAGCAAGTGCTAATCATCTTTCCACTTCGGTGAATTATTTATCATGCTGACATACGTGTTCCTTGAATTGAAATGCGCAAAAGAAGTTATTTAGCGATGACTTACTATGTGCGTAATGGATGCATTCAAAGAAACGAAACAATGAGAATTAATTCAAAAATTGTTTTAGTCAGCCGCACCGAAACTGTTTGGGAAAGAGTAGGAGGATAAGAAACGTTTTGCGAACCATTTTAAGAGGAAAGCCATCTTATAAATTAGTTTAAGTTTAGTAATTGTAGGATGATTTTCGAACCAAAACCTACCAGAGCAAGCCCGTCCGTCACCTTGCCAGCCGTCTTTACAAACGCACTGTCGGCGTCGCTCCGGAAACTCTCGGATGCATTCAGCGTTGGAGTCACAAGTTACACCTTCGCAAGTACCATCAGCTGTAACAATTGGAAATATCGTCACAAAAAGCTTGATAGACATGATGGTATTCGCTAGTTTTCTTTATCAAATAGATTACTGTTGGAACTCAAAAGCTTTTAACTCCTTAATGTCTTTGCCGACGTGTTAAGATAACAACTTTGGAAACAGTTGATTCCCAAAAATGTGGAGTGGAAAGTGGCGACACAAAAACAACTTACAAAGACATTTAACACCATCGCCTTGGTAACCAGGTCTGCACCGGCACGAAAACGATCCTTCGGTGTTAATGCACTCGGCGTCCTGGTGGCAGTTGTTCTTAAAAGGCTCGCACTCATTAACATCTAAACAATGAAAAGAACAATTTCTCATTGTTTACGTCCGAGCAATCCTAAAAATTGGAGCGTTAGCCATTACTCATTCAAAGATGATCAGTCCGCCGACTTTTCACTCAAAACTGAGCAGCCACTTTGAATGCAGTATCGGATCTAGAGGGGTAAAGACCAGTTTATCAGCTGGCCCCCTCGTTATAAGCACTACGGCATGAGCGTTTTGCAGCCAATTATGAGGCCAGCTTTGAGAAACGCTGGCCGGTGAGAGGTCTGTAGGGGGGTCTAGCACCTCGTTATAGGTACCAGACACCCGGTAAACCTCTTCCCGACTTGTTTGAAATCCTCCCGCGGACGGAGAGACACGCGTCCTACAGCGCTGATAATGAGCACCTGCTTGTAAGTAAGGTCCGAACCAACTGATTGAATTTCTCAACAAGAATACTCACCGAAGCAACTTGTTCCATCTCCTGTCCAGCCATTTTTGCAAACGCACTGTCGACGACCTTCATCAAAGACACAGTTCGCGTTTACGTCACAACGTGTTCCGTCGCACCTATCATCCACTGAAAGATTCAAGGGAACTAAGACGGTCAAGAGCAATACAACGATTTTCCACTGAGGTGGTATTTTAAGTTCAAACTTTCTAATGCGAGCACGATCAATCTTGAATTTTGCAAAGCATTTTGCTTCTGAGATCTTATTAACTCCTTTGTAGCCGTCGTTTATGAAGTCACGCAAAATTCCCCTTTTCCCCACCCCTTTACAAGTGTTGCATAACATTACAAAGAACGGGCCCAGCTGCGAAGGAGACTTGGGGTCTGAGGACTACTCCAGTCGATGTGACCGCCAAAACGTCTCATGCAAGTTAATCCTACGAAGTTGGTACTGTAAAGAGATGACTTAACTCCGTAACTCCCAAATGTGATTAAAATTTAACTTCTCTCTAGTATAACCATTCATTAACCACCAAACAAGGAATAAAAATACTCAAAATGATAAGTTAAAAGTTGTTATCTTGATCTAATACAAATTTCTTGTAACTAATTTACGTGGACATGTGTGGAAGCAAGAGAGGAGCATTGACAATCAGATCTTCGGAGCTAAAGGGTTAACTATTCTCGAACAACGACTCTTGGAGATTTACTGCAGTACAGCAGAAGAAATAATGAATTGATTTTCATGTTCTATGTTCACTTACGAGTACAGTTGAATCCGTCTCCAAGGTAACCATTCTTGCACTGGCAGTTAAAGGAACCCTCAGTGTTGGTGCAGTCGGCATTCGAGTCGCATTTGTTGACCAAACTTCTGCATTCGTCTTCATCTAATAAGTATGAAAATAAAAATAACGTAAACAAAATAGACACAATTCGATCAAACTGAGTCAAACTATAGAAGGAAAAAACAACAACGACAAGTTGAGTAAAAGTAGTCCTTCGAGCCGGATTCGAACCAGCGACCTAAGGATATCAACCATTACCTCTACAGTCCTCCGCTCTACCAGCTGAGCTATCGAAGGAACAATTGATTATCATAAAAGTCCTTACCGTAGCATCTTCTCCCGTCTCCTTTCCATCCTTCCTTACAAACACACTGCTGGCGTCCGCCTAGGACAAACTGGACGCACTCGGCGTTCTTATCGCACTGAACCCCTTCACATCTGTCCAGATCCGCTGAATAAGAACAAATGAACGTAAACAAAGCTTGGTAAATGATGTTGGAAATGGCTGATAAGTAATCAGAGAAGATTCATTCTCGTGTTCGTTTGATACTGACGCGGCTTAAACCGACACAAATTGAAGAAAGGCGGAACTATAGTACCGTACTTAACAAGGGGAAAGAAGTGCTAAAATGACAAAATAATGGCAAATTGACGTGGAATATGCAAATATATTTCAAACGTTAACAATCACTTGGTTCATGGATTTGTCGTCATGTAGAGCCGTTTGGGGATACAGTTTTGCCAATCAAAGGGTCTTTGAGACTGCGGGTGATAACGGCTTCGTGACGGCAAAGGTTACGAAACAAAACACTATTGTTTCTTAATTGTCAAAATTGTTGAGAGAGTATCGCGATAGCCTGCGTGTGGCCGTACCCTCCCCCCATGGTGAACGGAAGAGGGGGGGGGAGTAGGGCTACACGTAGGCTAGTATCACTTAGGGTTAGGATTCTGGGATTCTGCAGTGAAAAAGTAAATTAAAGTCGCGGAAATAGAAGATACTAATACTTAATGACGCTGAAATGAAGGTCGAAAAAAGGATGATTATAGAAAAAGAACGAAAAGTAAATTGACGCAGTTTTATAACTTCGCTTTGATTTCATACTGAAAGCTTCTACATTCCTTTTAATACTCACAGACGCAGCTGTAACGGCCGTCTCCCTGGAAACCAGGCCTGCAACGGCACAGGTATGAACCTTCAGTGTTGACGCACTCGCCATTTCTATGACAATTGTTCAAGAAAGGCTGGCATTCGTCTATGTCTGTAAATAAAGGGACAATTGACTTGTAGATTAATGATCCACTCCAAATCTAATCAAATATACATGTATGTATAAAAAAGCGATATAAAAGACTTACATACCAAAACACGTTTGACCATTCCCAGTCCACCCCTGCAAACAGATGCATTGCAGCTGTTCGTCCGGAGTACTTTGGGTGCAATTAGCGTTGGCATCGCAGGATACTCCGTTACAACCTAAGTCTGAAGTGAAAGGAAAAAAAAGGAGGAAAATAAAACCACAAGTCGAATAAGCACTGAGATTGCATTTGTGCCTAGGCTAATCAATATTGATTTCAACCCTTTACACTAATATATCAATATGTTCTCTATGCATTTCCTATGGTGTTGACAACGAGAAAATTGTGTAAGAATCGTGGGCTCCTTGAGCGGGTGTTGATTTCCTGTATTCTTGTAACCCTTACAGTTGACTTCAGTGGTGATAATGTATGGTGGAATTAGATGCCAGTCGCCCTTAAGAGTTAATGGGTTAAGTATACATTTTACATCTGAAAGCCAAATAAGAAAAATTCTCACGAGGGCAGAACGCAAATAAAAAAGAAAGGAATATTGAAAAGCATATTATATATCCCAAGCTATTTTGCCTTCCTTTTGGTTTTAAACCATTATGTTCCATTAAATTTATTGTAATCATTTATCTATTTTCATCTTGTTAAGACTTGCCCATTGATAATTGAAAAAACAGTAAAGTTTCCCAGTAGATATATATCTCCTTGAAAGAAAAATTGTCTGAAAGTGTCACTATCAATCTTATAAATCGGTAACATTAAGGAAGGAAAGCAAATCATGATATCAAATTCACCTTGGCAGTGTGTTCCATTGCCTTGCCAACCGTCTTGGCACACACACGATCCACGTTGCTCAGGAGACGCTTTAAAGCAAGTAGCGTTAGCATGGCATTGAACACCATCACAGGTACCATCAGCTGAGTAATAAAAAAAGACCCTTGTCTCAGTAACCATACGGGAAATCCCGGTTTAAAGATAATACCCCACTGTTCCCCCTTTCCCCCTCCTCTCGATCGCACTTGATGACTCTCAAGAAATTTTCGATTCTTGGAAAAATATCAATTTTCACTTTGTAAGGAAAAAAGTATTCTTTCAACGTGATGTAAAATGGTACAGGCAAGCATTCGGCGCTGTTGTATGGAATAATGGTCCACTTGAGAAATTTGACCGATACATGTCCTATTAGTCCTTGGGCAGGTCACATTCACCTACATATACAACTGAAGCCATCTCCTTCGTAGCCTGGTTTGCAACGACAGTCGTAAGATCCCACGGTGTTAATGCAATCAGCTCGTAATGGATGGCACAAATTCTTGAAGGGTTGACATTCATCAACATCTGGAAAACAGCAAAACAGCTATTCTAAGGAATTGTAATTAAAAACCGTGACCTGACCTCGAGAAGCAGAACTATTCGTACAAAGCTATCGGCTTCTATAAATTCCATTACATACACTTTGTCGCGAATGATTAAAAACGAAAACATGCCAATCCGTGACAAAAATATCGTAAGCCGTGACCTCTCACAAACTGGTTTGGAGCTTCAACCGAAAACCCAAAAGGAGCTTAACGTCAATTGCTCGTAGGTATGAAAAGTGAATAAGGTGGGGATTTGAAACTAATAATAAACGTGTTTTTTTTAATTTTGTTTGTCCTGTTTTGCTCTTCATTTGCTTTGTTTTAGTTTTTGTTTAATTGTTCTTTTTTCTTGTTTCAATTTGTTTTTATTTTTCTTTTTTTTACTTTTGTCATTAATTTGTGTTTAGTTCATTGATTTTGTCTTGATCAGCGTGAAACGTTCGATAAAACCTTTATTCTCTTCAGTCAACTTTACCCTCGGTCAGCATAAATGATGTTGTATATCTTCATACAGCTGCAACTAATATATATCTTACCTGAGCATGTCTGCCCGTCACCAGTCCAACCTTCAACGCATTCACAGTTCGGTGGACCATCCAAGGGCTGTACACATTGAGCATGCGCATCACACACGACGCCATTACAGCTACCCTCAGCTGAAAGGTAAGTAAAGCAGAAATAACCTTCACCACCACTACAATCTGATTTTGAATAATTCTCCCAACCATCTGCCTTACAGTTTCTTACGAATTTGGTCAGAGAATCTAGCTTCAAAGATAGCATTCCAGTACATTCTGTTCTCACTAAATTTAATTTAGATTTAAATTTTTGCACAGGTAATCAGGTTTGATTTTATGTTAATTACTACCAAGGAGAATTTGTTTCACAATTAAGAATTTCTTTGGTTGATGATTATTTCCTTTATTCTTGTGACCCTCATGTGTGATTCAGGGGAGATATTGCAAGGAAAAATTAGATGTTAGTCACTCTTAGGGGTGAAAGTATTAAAAGAGGCACCGTGGACGTTATTCTCTAAATCTACAATTTGGTGGAGCTCTTAAAAGCAGGTGGATGTGAGACACTGGCCATTTGACCCCTGAGAGTGACTAATTTATGCATGCAATATCACCCCTGGAACACACTTTATGCTCACGAGAATGAAGGAAATAACCACCAGCTAACGAAGTTCTTGATTATTTAAACACTTTTCTTCGACAGCACTCGAAGAAACGGAAAGAGAAGACTTCGGAGAAAATGCATACTGACTTTAGAGTGGAAAAGGTAAGCTGTCAAGATGACCCAAAAATGATTTCTTTACTTTGAAATCCTGCTCTTTGAGGGATCTTTGCTTCCAAACTTTTTGGTTTGTTTTATTGATATCAGTATGAAATAAAGCCTAATTATTTACTAACTGGTTGTACATGTGATAAAAGCAACTCTTGACTGTGCCTAGGGTTTGCGTATCCGTGTCAATAATATTATTGTTGGTTAAATATTGTATCATGTTATTCAAATCTATTTCAGCATTTGAGTTTTGATGCTGTTTAAAACGCATTTGAATGTAACACCGTGTTAAATTCAAATTTATTATACACTGATATAATTCAGTAAGGACGTGGCCAGCGGTCTACATAAAAGGAATAGTTCAGGGATATTTCAATCGTAGACCTACCTCTTTCGCAACGCAGTCCATCGCCCGCAAATCCTGATTTGCACTCACACTCGAAAGAACCATTTGTGTTGATGCAATCTGCGTTCAAGTCGCAAGGACTCCGAGTATCATTGCATTCATTTTCATCTTAAACATTAAAAAATGCAGATACTATGATTTAGTTGTAATATTTTTCATTAGAGAGTACTTTGAACATTTCAATGCTTTAATAAACATGTGCTCTCTTAAATTGAAGGTAAAAAGATTTTGGAGAAAAAAATTAACGGGATAACGAAGCTAATCGACTTCCAGAGCAACACTTTGTCCCTTTTTTTTTTTAACTGAATCAAGGCTAACCTAGAGCTTGGGTGGCAACAGCGACTTATTACGTGGAATCGAGACCTCTTTTCTCTTGCATAAGCCCATGATTAATTTGGAGTTTCTAAGAGGTAGGGGGGAGTTCCCTTTGCAGGTTCTTCCTCTTTCTCCCTGCATGTGTTCCTACTCCCTCAGAAATGCGTTACATGTGCAATCACTCTATTGTACTGTTCTGTTCCCCATAAAGCGCATTCGTTAAATCATAAACGATCATCGTTCAATCTCTACACATCGAAAATACCCCACTAAATTTAGCCAAGACATCAAGTCCTTCACCACCCTTAGCCGTGAGTACAACCCCCCCCCTCACCTGCCCCCCCCCCCCTTCAGATAGAAAACATGTTCCTCGTGGTCTAAAACATATTTATTAAAACAATTGTGTAACTCATCATTTTACTCCTCTACTTCACTTACAGAGTTTCAAATTGAGTTTTCTTTGTCGCAAGGAATAACTTACCCTCGCAAATAATTCCGTTGCCTTGGAAACCAGGTTTGCAAAGGCATCCACCACGAATAGGATCACATTCAGCATCCGGATGGCACTTAGCACCCATGCATGAGTCATCAGCTAAAAACAACGTATACAATGAGTGGCTGGCGAATTGCGTGGTCCTATCCTATTAGGGTGGGACCTCTATTTGTGGGTCATCCCTGGAAATAGCAAAAGTATCCCCTGAGCCCAAAAAGACAAGATTTCCATTTTGTAAAGTTCACGATGTCGTAGATTTTCTCACGCAGCGAACGCTATCTATAGGAAGGCCTATTTGGAATGATACCCTCATGTACAGGCTGCACTCGCTCTGTCATGAATTTTTTCTTGCTACAACTTACAGACACACTTGCGGTTGACTTCCATGTATCCTTTCCTGCACAGGCATTCAAAGCTTCCCAAGGTGTTTCTGCATTCGGTTTTGTTGTCCGGACAAATGTCCTCTCTTAACAATACAACGCATTCGTTTAAGTCTAAAATAAAAACAAGTGGTCAAAGTCAAATCAATATTATCCTTCCTACTTCACGTATGAGTTCGTTAAACACCTCTATCTGGAATATGAGAGATTTGGGTGAAAGCCCAATCATTGTTTTCAGCTTTAATTTTAATACTTTCTTTAGCTGCAGAATAACAATCGAGATCTATTCGATCGCGTCACTCATCCTCAGGCCAACTTTGAATAATCTACACTTCCATTCGCTCTGACGAAGGGCTAACGCTCGAAACGTCATATTTAAAACTCTTTACAAAGACCTTTTTACGTTATCGACTCATTTGATCGTGCTAAATTACCCTGTTGTACTCTCCCACCAACGCAGCACCACAGTTTCTTTCGAGAGTTTCCCCCTTTTTTTTCATACGAATACTTTACGTTACCTAAATATAATCTACTTTTGAAAAAAGTGGAGATGGTGATGGTAAATAGAGTTAGAGATAAGATAAAGATAACTACAAAGATAGAGGAGCCAAGCTTCTCAAGGTACAGGGGAGATGGGCAAGGTAAGACATTAGTAACGATCATGATCAGTTCCATTGTTCACCATGTAGTTTAAATACACTTTAAGGGATGCAAGTGTTGAGTATTAGTAGAATCAATAAACAAGTAAGAGCCACAGAGAGTTCCTTGAACATCAGTCGAAGAAATGGACATCCTGGAGGTAAGATCTCGGATTAAATATTGGTAATGTCAGATGAGAAGCAGGCAAAATTAATGACACTGATGACTTAGTACTCTAGCTCTACTCACAAAAATTATTATGGACATGCATACCATGACATTAATTGCAAGTACATCAATGAAGGGTTGAATCGGCGAATCACATAAAATAGTAGTAAAAACTGCCATTGTTACCTTCACAGTTCAATCCGTTTCCAGTGAAGCCGAGCCGACACTGACATTCCCTTTTACCTGTGTTAGGATTTTCTTCACACGAGGCAAATACGTGACATTTGTTGCGATCACAGCCACCGTCGGAGTCTATTGAACAAAAAAAGAACATAAGACATATCGGTCCAAGTAAAATAAGATCTGTGAGGAGGAGGGGAAGGGGG